GTAATGTTCTGGGGACCTGGGTTTGAATCCTGCCACAGCAGATGGTGGAATTTGAATTCAATAATTATCTGGAATTAAGAGTCTAATGATAATGGTAAATCCATTGCTGATTGTCAGGAAAAACCCATTTGGTTCACTAATGTCCTTTAGGAAGAAAACTGGCCTACATGTGGCTCCAGACTCATAACTGCTCTCTGGGCAATTAGGGCTAGGTAACAAATGCTGGCCTAGCCAGCAATGCCCTCATACCATGAATGAATAAAGGAAAAGTAAATTGAATCTTTGTCTTTCTTGACTAACAAAACTATACTGAGCAATTTCAAGAATCAGAAAACTGAAAGGATTAGCAATTCATTTATACTTTAAATTTTAAAGCTGCCAAATTAAACACCCTTGTTTCTAAAGGACAAGACCACTCCACTAAACAGGCTGCAGTATTTAGTTTCAAATTGCATGTTCAAAATTATGGCTAACCCCCTAACCCTCCTAGAAAATATTATCTGACTTACCAACACAATTGCAAAGGAACTATTTGAAGAAGGCCTATTTTTAAAAGAAAATTCATCCACCTATGATCACGTTCCACTCATGAATGTTATTTCACAAGCAGTGATCATTTATTTTTACCGCTGAATTTTAGGCTTCTCCAGACATGACTGCGGTTAATTTGGGGGAAGGAAATGCAAAAATACATGGATGACGAAATGTCACCGGACCAGAAACATTAACTCTGAAATTTTCTTCATGGGTTCTGCCAGACCTGCTGAGCTTTTCCAGCAACTTCTGTTTTTGTTCCGGATTCACAGCATCCATAGTTCCTCAGTTTTTAAGACACGGATAGAAACTGGCCACTAGAGGGAGGCAGCATGCACAATTTTGCCAATCGACCTGCTATGTAAACTGAGATAAAAGCAAGTGCATGATTTATTACTAAATTAGGTCGAAGTATCTGCAGAATGTCTGTTAAAATAAAACTGATTTGTGTAATTTTTGTGCCTTCAGATTAGTCTGACATATTCACTTTGCAGCAAAAGTGAAATTGATTCAGAAGCAAATTGATTCTCCCTGTGCCCATTTTCTAGGGAAAAGATGTGGGCTGGGGGACCAGTTTCAGATTGTGATTTCTTACATGCCACCTCCACTGAAATGCTTTGGGTGCCAACTTGGAATCCATGACTACCAGGCATTCACGGTGCCTGATCAAAACAGGTGCCATATGACAAAAGGAATCTAAATCCAATGTTAGGGCTCCCAGTTCACCATTGACTATTTCAAGGATATGTGCCTCAAGGGTGGAGGAATATTCTCTCTTCAATAAATGATGGGCATGTTATAACCTGACCCCAAGGCAAGGTTCCCCAATTTGTTTTGGCTCCAGTTGGGAAACCTCAAGCTGTGAGGCTCCTCGCTGAGGAGATCAACTAGCTCCCTTTCCTTATTAACCCAGCTCCTTGTTTGGTTGCAACAAGGTTAATTTAAAATGGATCCCTTCTGTAGTGATTATAATGAGGTCAGCCAGACGGACATCATTAAATGAGTTTCCTGATTGGGGTTGTTAACCTGGTCCAATCAGGGAGCCTTGGCTGACAGAAACAGGAGAGTCAGATGTTCTGTTCACTTTGAGAGCTAGCTCAGAGGGAGCTGGATCAGTGTCAAGGACTTTCCACTTGTAACTAAAGAGTGACTTGTTGACGAGATATTGGGCTGCGTGGAGTTATTTCACTTCTCTTATAAATACCTTTCTCTAGACCCAAATGAACTTGTGTTTTAAGTTGAGCCAATTTAACCTGCCCTTTTTAAACTTAAAAAAAGTGAGTTTCTTGATTACTAAACATAGGAAGAATTAGTGACGACAACACAAAGATTAGAAATAAGCAGTAGATCCAAAAAAATCAAAGTAAAATAATGGTTATATGGATCATCCTCTGAATTGTGTGCGATAAGCAGATAAGTCAATGTTGCAGACATTATTAGGCTTCACCAGTTACATTGACATTGGCAATGGAACAGTTGGTTTTTGAGATTCTTAACTTGGTAAGCTGATTGAAGTTTCTTTGTCCTTATTCCTTTCTTTTAGCTGATCTGCAGCACTCTAAATAAAAGAGAGCATTCCTTTGCCTGCATCATGGGGTAACTGGGAGATAATACTTTGACTGTTCTTAACTTTCACAATAAGCTAACCTTTGGACACAGATTTGTATACATGAGAGCATTCAGTTCCACTAGTCCATTCCAGTAGAATTGAAACTAGCCTTTTAACCCCTGTCCTTGAGTATTCTTCAAAGGGAAATACACAAAATGTATCTGCAGTTTGGGATCTAATCCATGATGAGTAGCTTGTTATTGAGCAGGAGATCATCAGCTCCTTATTTTCTCTCTAGTCAGAAAGATCACAGGCCAGTCTGTTCGAAGTTCTTTGACACTTTAGGTGTTACATTCTATCAGTTTCTCTCTCTCTCACACACACACTAGACAATCATTTAACTTACACCTGCTACCATTTTTGGATGAATCAAAAAACACAGTTTGTAATTACAAGGCAAAAAATGTCCCAACAATTTAGGGTTCTAACACAACATCATATCAGGCATCGAAGTAAATCATGAAAGATTGCATTCAGTTAAAGTCATAAATATTGAGACTAAGGTCCTACAATGGGAAAGGAACGGTAATGCAGGACCTTACCTGAGCTTGAATCTAGACCCATGTTAATCCCCAAACAGTTTGAAATACCATTAGCCAGTTTATGCACCACATCAAATCATTGCATATAGGGTGGTAGAGGTGAATTGCTGAAATAATTTAAGAAACAAATGAGTGTCACAATGTAGAGACAGTAGGGTCTCTCTATGGGTGAACTAAGGTAGGTCATATGGTATTCATCAATCGTAAACATCCTGCGATCATTCCAACTGTTCTCAGCTAAGTGGTGGAAAAATCCTACACCACACTAATGGAGCAGAATAAAATCTGCTTTTGCATGCTGTTAAATATCATTAGTGCCACAGACTATTCAGAAGTGACAGGAGGGAAATAAAACTGATTAATGGATTCACATTTGAAAATATCAAAATAACACTCACTACTGGGAGAAGTTTCCCAGCTGACCTTTGATGGATCTAATTGAGGCTTAGCTGCCATGTCACAAACATTTACTCACAGTCAGCTAAGAGCATTATTTTTACGTGACACAGCATGCAACAAGACAAATGGAAACATCAACATTAGCTGTCATGGTGATCATAAAAGGTTTTAATCTACTCCACCCCTCAATCCCAGGTGATCTGCAAGTCTCCTGTGATCCGAACAACAAAAACTCTGTTGTGCCTTCCAAATTAATGAATATGATTGTAGTATACTTACTCAGGTCCAGAATTGCAATTTAAGAAGTACTCATGAAGCATAGCTGTAACAAAATAGGTTATAAATTTCTGTGTAGATCTACAGGGGTCTCTGATTTAACCTGAATTATTTGTATGTAAACAAGTATCTTGACATGGCATAACATAATAAAGATCTACGTCATGGGCTGTCTGTTCTCTGATCCTTGTAATGATAAGAGTGTTGATATACATTAGTTAAAGCTGCTTTCTCTTTTTAATTTTGTGCACCTTCTACTTGTCACAGAATTGTTTATGGACATGAGTTTGTGCATCATATACTCATGGTCAGTTGGGTGAGTTAATATAATTGTCACAAAACCTTTTAAACTCACTCCCTGATGAAGATGCCAAATCCAAGGTTAATTCTCTTACATCAGATAAATAGATAGTTAAAGCTGACTATCTTCTGTGGTTCAACAAGACTTTACCAGGAGAATTCATTTTTGTTTCAATAGAACAAACAATAAATACTTGTAAACTGTAGTTATAGACACTAATATTAGGAACCAGGGAAATAAGTGATTGTTATTAGACCTGTGAATAGAAGCATTCTGACTTGCACCCCATTGATATTGCTTTACTTACCTCCACTTTATGTTTCTTTTATATGTTAATTGAATTTAAGGTTTTTCAAATTTGAATTGCCAATAAACCATGAAGCTCCTAGTGTTTGTACTGTTCATTCCCACTTTGTGGAATTGGCATGTAACAGGGACAAATGTTGTCCAAACTACAGCAAGTGTATACAGTTCTATAGTTTGCTGCACCAAGGGATCTAATTGGGACATGCTACCACTGTCACTGATAGATATACTCTTCCCACATTACCTGACTGCAGGTAGGACCTGATGTTCTTGCTTCTGTTTGTGGGAATTCCTGGGATGAATTTGAAATTCCCTTGATCAACTCAACATGCTTAACCAAGAATCAATAAAATGTGGAGCTGGAGGAGCACAGCAGACAGCATCTGAGGAGCAAGAAAGTCGACGTTTCATATCAGGACTGGGGAGGGGGGAAGGGAGCTCAGAAATAACTAGAGGGAGGGGGTGAAGCTGGGGGAAGGTAGGTAGGATGGTGATTGGTGGGTGCAAGTAGGGGGTTTGTAGAGATTGGTCAAAGAAAGGTTGGGGAGGATAGGTGAGAAGGAAGATGGACAGGTTGCGTCAGGTCAAGGAGACGGGGATGAGAGGCAGGGCTGGACGTGGGATGAGGCTGGGGGTTGGGGAGATTTTGAAGCTGGTGAATTCTATGTTGAGGCCATTGGGCTGTAAGCTGCCAAGTCGGAATATAAGGTGTTGTTCCTCCAGTTTACGTGTGGCATTATTGTGTCACTGGAGGAGGCCCAGGATGGACGTGTCACCAAGGGAGTGGGAGGGGGAGTTAAAATGGCTGGCAACGGGAAGGTGGTGTTGATTGACGTGTATAGAGTTCAGGTGCTTAACTAAGAAATAAGTTGTTTCCACTTGTGCCTTTAAATGATTCAATGCAGTGATTACACAGAAATTTCAAGATTGTGCTCATTAGGTCATTCTGGGTCTTTATTACCAATCATGAGCCATCTGAGTGGGGTAAGGGCTTGGAGAAGGTTTTGACAATATTATGCTTGTTGCTCACAGCCTTTTCTCCCAGAAATTCAAATCTTCAACACAATCTCTTTTACCTCTAAAGCAGATGAAATTGCCAAACCATTTGTGGCCATCACAAGTTCAGTTAGTCATTGAAATATGAATATGCATTATACCATGCTGGCCTAGATTAAAGTGAGGTAAGTGTTAGACTTAAAAAGCATATAAACAAATTGCTATCAGTCTTATGTTAGCAATAGGATGAGCAAGTCAACAAATTTTCAGGTTGCAATATCAATGACCTTTAAATTTGCCACTAATTGTGCAATAATCAAAGTCTCCTTTCAAAATTGTGTTATGCTGCATTTGTACAATACATTCAGCTTTGCTTATATTTTGTTTGATCTTTTATTCTATTACTATTTATATAGTAGAATGCTTCAGGTTCAGCACTTATCTAAGGTGATAAGATTAATAGATTGCTCCATCACCTTTTTTTCTCTATTAAATTTCCATTTCAACTTACATTTATTTTCCTGCATTCTCTTTTGTAAATGTTTAATTAAATCTCTATGTTCCTCTGATCCATTGAACACTTCTCCATTTTTTTTTTCACAGCCTCTGATGTTGGTCACTGTGGCTGCTTCCTAACAGGTTGAAAGCAGATGCAGGTTGACCAGAGCTGACAGCAGATGCATTCAGAAAATAGCTGGCTTCCCCCATGTGCAAGGTGTGTAATGGGTCTAGATGGGATAGTCTTTGGAGGGTTGGTGTGGCCTTGAAGGGCCAAATGGCCTGCTCCCACACTGAGGGGTTTCCATGGTGATTGTATGAACTACATGCACAAGACATTGAAAGGGCCATATCAAAACACTCCACAATTGATCAATAGGGAGGGGTTCAATTACATTGATGCCCAGGCAATCTGTGATCACAATTACCACTTCCTGGAGGTGTATGCCCTCTACTCTAGCAACTGCTAAAACTCCTTCATATTGGAGCTCTCATGTGTGCATGTTGCTTCTGAGAGTCCAGCTGCCTTACAAGCCTGGTTACTGAGGGACAAGGGCTAGCCATTAGGATCATGTTCGTGACAATATTGCTCAACCCCCTGATTAACAGGGAGCATAGATTCAGTGCTGCCCATGTCTCAACCAGAGACATGGTGGATCGGAAAGTAGGGCTGCTGAGCATACAATTTCACTACTTGAACTGCCCAGGCGAAGGTGCCCTCCAATATAGAGTGCACCACAGCACTCTGGTGTGCCATGCTCTGCACAATTGGAGCAGGCAACAAGGAAATGTGCTGGATACTGAGGAGTTGGAAGAAAGGTAGCATTCTTCTGAAGTAGAGGATGAAGACACTGGGGAGAAGGAAGCTCTCTTTGTGCATGACAGACCTCAACTGCATTGGGAGCAACAAACCCAACAGAACTTGACTGACACTTGGTTCCAGTAGATGAGCATGTGTGCAACAGATCATCATGGAATCTAACACAATTGTTGGCCATCATTCTAGCATTTGATTTGCACCGTGGGACCGAACTGCAACCTCTACAGGTTTTGTCTATGTTTGCTTTTGTTGACTGTAAATAAAAGCTGATGTTTGGAATCGTCCAATTGCTTGCCTGTCTGTGATGTTGCTCTCCTGGGCAATGATAACATGTGGGTCTTCAGTGGGCATTGAGGACAAAGTAGTGGTGACGTAGAGAGGGTGTTTAGATGGGATGTAGAAAGGTGTGTGGCCTGGCTGTTAAACAGGGTAAAAGAATGGTATCTTATGGTTGCTGGAGTTTCAGCCAAGCTATGTGCTGTAGGCAGTGTGGCATTGTGGCTGCTGTGTCATGATGTTGTCGGTGAAGGGTAACACCACCAGATTGCCAATGCTTGTACAGTCACACAGTAGCCTTTTAAAGAAGGTGCTGACACTAGGGATGTAGGTCTTTTGGTGGTGAGTTGTTCCAGGAATGATGCATGATAAGACAGGGATGGAATTGGATATGAAAGACACCACAAGATTGGGGTAGGTAATTCATAAGGTGACTTTGATAAGATGTGGAAAGAAATTGTGCTGGGTCTTGAAGGAAGATTTCCTCTAAAAAGCTTAATGCTTTTCACACTAAGCCAAATAAATGTAAGATTCAGCCCTCAGTGTTTATTAAACATTCTATTAAATGTCATTAATGGAAAGCATTACATGCTCCAGGCCCTAGTTTTCAGTCATTGATAAAAGGTCATGAATTGCTGAACAGATTACTTCAGGTGGCGGAGATGCCACAACAAACATTATACCTGAGTATTTTAAAGATAAAAGTGGGTGATAAACCCAGAGATACAATCCACAAAGAAAATCTGAGGCAAACAGCAAGAGAGAATGAAAGAGACTGAAAGAATGGAAGACAATGAGAGTGAGATTTGGTAAAAAAAAATCAGGATTTTATAACTCATAATGTGCATGATATCATAGGATCCAATTTTGAACATACCACAAAAATATATTTCTCAAGCTGTTGGTGGGGCTTGAAAAGGGTAAAATTCCAAGCTTTGGGCCTAAGCTAATGGAAATGGCACACTGCCCCATAGTTTTCTGACAAAATCATATATCTTATGTCCTCTTTTGAAAATCTGCTATGAATACAAACAACCCTGAAAATCATGACCTCCTAATTTCATCTTTTTCATTTATACTTCTTCCTGACAACATCACTAAAATAATCTCCTGGCAATAGATGTCTGCTCCTTTCGTTCATGTTGTATAGGTTCTGTATCCTTCAAGAAAAGCTTTTAATTATCACCATTGTTCATCTCTCACATACAAACATTAACTGACATCCATTGCAGGTTGCTCAGAATCTTGAGTTGTTCTACATATTATACGGTGTGCATAGTCCTTGCCAAATGTTACATAAAAGGAGACAGAAACATTAGCTGAAGAAACCATTTTTTCAAACAAAATCGCACAATGGGTGGTTCAGTTCTACAAAAGTGCATTAGTTAATGACAGTGTTGAAGCTATGTTTAATTCTCATTTCAATCATTCATTAATTGCATACTAATATGTTTCCAGATGAAATACACCAATTACCTCATATCAGATGTGACCTATTTAATTGAGTGTGCTACTACTTAGATGAAAGAGGCAATGAGGTTTTCTCTAACTCCATGTTAGTGTGTTTGCATTGTAGGATATCAGCTACACTGGTTGCACAGTAAATTGGGTGAGCTTGCATCCGCCATGCTTTCCTTGCAGTTTCTCAATTTTCCCCGGATTTTGACGCATTGAAATACCTGGACATATTTCTTTCCAGAGCTTCATTAAATCAATGCAATAATGTTGAAATGCCTGCCATATTTCCTGGGTCATATTTTGGGACTTTTCTGAATGCTATGTTTACAATACATTATCTTATGACTTTTATTATGTATTGTTTTCCAGTGACTGGATGGGGTGGTGAAGAAAGTATTTGGCATGCTTGCTTTCATTGGTCAGTGCATTGAGTACAGGAATTGGGATGTCATATTGCCACTATACAGGATATTGGTTAGGCCACTTTTAGAATACTGCCTTCAATTCTGGACTCCTCGCTATAGGAAAGATGTTGTTACACCTGAAAGGATTCAGAAAAGATTTACAAGGATGTTGCCAGGGTTGGAGGGTTTGAGCTACAGGGAGAGGCTGAATAGACTGGAGCTGCTTATCCTGGAGCATCAAAGCCTGAGCGGTAACCTTATAGAGGTTTGTAAAATCATGAGGGACATGGACAGGGTGAATTGCCAAGGTTTTTTTCCCTAGGGCAGTGGAGTCCAAAACTGGAGCACATAGGTTTCAGGTGAAAGGGGAAAGATTTTAAAGTGACCTGAAAGGTAGCTTTCTCACACAGAGGGTGGTGCATGTATGGAATGAGCTGCCAGAGGAAGTGGTGGAGGCTGGTACAATTACAGCATTTAAAAGGCAGCTGGATGGGTACATGAATAGGAAGGGTTTAGAGGGATATGGGCCAAATGATGGCAATGGGACTAGATCAGTTTAGGATATCTGGTCAGCATGGACAAGTTGTACTACAGGGTCTGTTTCAGTCAACGGGAGAAGTGCTCACATATTATGCAGTTAGGTTGTGCTACAATTATATCATGTGTTAATCCCTTGGAAAATATCGACGTGGCATACGACTTTAAGATTTACATTGTAGCTTGAATGTATGCTGGGATGTGAGATACTATGAAAAGATTTGTCAGGCATGCTGCACTATTGGGTTCCGGGTGGAAACAGTTTTCCTCAGATCTCCTCGTCTGATTCTGCCACACTTCTAGCAGCAACCCACATCACTTGGAATAAGGTTTCATCCAAAATGTTTCCATTCTGGAACATCAGATAGAATGATACCCTCTTCATGTTACAGAACTTTACTTCAGCACGTGGATACTCCACCAGTCTATTATTTGTTGACTGGGTCAGTTCTCTGCCTCCATACTGGGTTTGTCTTTCCTTGGTTATGGCTTGCCCCTCCTGCCACTCATCAGACTGAACAACTGACAAATATTATTTTCAGCCTTTAGACAGATTTAATATTTTTATCACTCCTGCGCTCTTTAGACTTTCCCAGCATTCATGTAAGAGCTACACTAACCCAATATTTTCTACATGACACCACAGGCATCACGCTGAGGCATGGCCTAGCCGGAAGCAACACATAAGTCAAACTCTGCTTTGTGCACAAGTGATTTGCTCACAGCAGTTCAGCAATCCAGCCCCACTGCATTTGTGCTGTAAACCAAAGCATTGGATAGAATAGCACAATGAATCATACTTGGATAGTATCATTCATGTTGCAAAAATAATTTTAAAAAGACTTGCATTTATACAGCACTTTTCATAACAGCAGGGCAACCCAAAGCACTTTGCAACCAACAAAGCAATTTTTGGAAGTATCATTGTTGTGATATGGGAAACCACTTTGAATGCACTGATAATGATCACACAATATGGTTTTGTAGTGTTGATTGAGGGATACATATTAGCCAGCAAACTGCAGATAACGTCCCGGCTCTTCATCAAGGTAATGTAGAGGAACCTTTTGTATCTATCAGAAAGGGGACCAATCAGCTCTGAAAGGCTGCACCTCCAACAGTACAGCACTCACTCAACCAACACTTCTGTGCTTAGGCCTGGGAGTAGAAGTCGTAGCAACAACCTTCTGACTCAGATGTGACAGTGCTCCCCACTGAGCCATAGCTGCCACATGCAACACTGCTGATGGATAACTAGTGGAAAGAGATGTAGAACTGAGCAAGAATATCTGAAAATCCAAGAGGGAATTTGTCAGAAGTGTTTTGAAGGGGGTAGACAGTGGTCAGAGGAGGGAGATGTTGAAAGGTGGCTGTTGTGAAAGAATTCCACAATGTAGACACATGATGGTTTAGAAAATTTGATGGCATTCTAAGGGGCTGGAAAACATTGATGGTGAAAGAGAGTTAAAAAGCTGGATATTATGTATCCCTATCAGGTGTGTTTTGGGCATGTAATTCAGGTTAGGTGCCCAGCTTGCCACTTTCCAACACTCACATGATGAGTGGAAGTCCCATATTTAGACACATAGCCCATGTGCAGCAGGTTACAGATGTGGAGAGGGTTTCCTGCTGGTCTGTCAGATTTGCAACACACTTCCCTTCAAAAGATGAGATAGCAGCCTGTCCTGTCTGTCATTACCAGCCCAGTATTTCAGGGTGATGACTTTCTATTGGTTTCATTGATCGGAGATGTTAACAGAATTCCTCTCTCCAGAGATGCTGTCTGCTTCCAACATTTTGGATGAAACCTTCTTCCAAGTGATGTGGGTTGCTGCTAGAAGTGTGGCAGAATCAGACGAGGAAATTTGAGGAAAATTGTTTCCACCCAGAGGATGGGAGATGCTACCTGACAGGGTGGTGGAGGCAGGTAAACTCACAACATTTAAAAATCATCAAGATGGGTATTTAAAATGCCGGAGAATAATAGTCTATGAATTAAGTGTAAGTAAATGGGATTAGTGTAGTTTGGTATTTGTAAGTCAGTGTAAATATGGTGGGCTGAAGGGCCTATTTCTATGTTGTATGATTCTATTACTCCATGAAAGGTCTGATGAGACCTACTTCAATGTTGAGAGTGTCTCACACTGTCTTTTATGTTTTGCACAAGTGGTGTAGTGAGTTTCTCACTAGTCAGTGATGAAAAGCTAATTAAGGAGGATTATAGCATGTTAACACTTTATTAATGTTCAACTTTCTTACCAAACTCTCCAAACAGGCTGGACATCCAAGAACACTTGCCATGGAAATCTGAGTGATTATCTTGAGGATTCAGCTTGCTGATTGCTTTGATATTTGATAGCAGACACCAATATCTTGGGGCACGCTCCATGGGAAGCTGCCACATGGACCTGACGTCCATGGACATTGGCAACCAAGACATGCCAACCTCTAACAATCCACATGGCACATCTTCGCACACCTACAGGATGCTTCTGCACTTCAGTGTTGTACGTCGGGCTGCACCAGTAACTCCCTTGTAATGCTGCAGCAAGGTTACTGTCCAGTCAGGGACAACACACCCAGCTCACAGTCTGGACCAGGCTGCATCTCCAACCTCTTCACTCATGGCTGTAGCACTCACTGACTCTGAACCTACCTAGTTGCTCACAGCATCCCTTGCCTTGCCTTTGCCTCCTCAGCCAGAGACGCCAGGTTCATGTTAGTCCTTCCCTGCCATGTACTACAGACATAAAAAAGGAAACTTGCAATGGTTATCAGCAGGCTTCAGTCATGTTGAGGGGGATAGTTTCACTCAGATGTTCCCAACACAGTAAGCCAAGGGCAACCTCTAATCCCAGTAAAGCTCTGCTCAGGGAGGTCAGTGTCAGGATTGTCTCCTCATAAGGAATGAGGAATTGAATGTCAGGCAGCCCGCAACCTATTTTGCCCTTTTCTGGGCTGTTTTCCTCCTGGAATGAGAGAGGGGCTGGTATTACGGAAGATGAAAGTGGACAGCACAGCTGTTACTTTTGGAGAAGGTTGAGGGATGTCCAAGTGATATGCAGCGTAGAGGTCATTCACGGTTAGGGATGCACAGTGTGGTGTAGATGAGGTGAGATATTGCAGGCAATTGTGAGAGTGGTAGAGCATGAGCCATGGTGGCTAATGGGTTCAGTAGTGGCAAAAGGTGAGTAAGGCGTATCACAGAGAAGATGGTGATACCTACGTTGGTCGAGTACAGAACGTCACTGAACTTCTTTCTACATTGCAATGCATTCTTTCAGATGGCAGAGACTGCTTTAACCCAGGCTGACACAGTCTGCTGCTCTGATCTCCACTGCTGGTCCTGGAAAGAAGCATTAGTTGATCCCCTGCACTATTCTTTCCAATGGAACGTCCAGGGCCATGTCTGCAAAGTGTAGCATCAATTTTCTTCTTTCTTCCAAGTCCAGGGCAAATGTCAGGTTCAGCACTAGTCAACAGGCTGTTAAAGATGGCGTAGATGCAAGGGAGGCTGGTGAATTTCTGAAAATTCAATGAGTGGCAAGTCGTTCTAGGAATGGTGTGTAGTAAGATGGGGCTGAAACTGGATGTGAAGGATACCATAGGAGCATGATGGGCAATTAATGCTGTGCATTTGGTAAGATACAGTGAGAAAACTTGCTAGGCTTCATGGCAAAAATCCCTCCAAAACACACAATGAAATTCACACTTAGGCTAAAAATCCTATGATTCAGTGATTTGTGTTGTCATTTCAGATTTCCAACATCAGTATTTTACTTTTAGAAAACATTAATATTTTGTTGCCACCTTAACATTTACCTGGGCCACTGTCTTTTATACATTGGCCGGTTGGAGCTTTTTCCATTGGTTGATGAGATATGGGTGTGCTGGCTGGGCCTGCATTCATTGAGCATCCCTAATTGCCCTTGATCTGAGAGACTTTCTTGAGCCATTTCAGGAGGAAGTTCAAAGTCAACCACATTGCTGTAGGTCATAAGTTCAATATAAGTCGACCAGATTAGGACAGCAGATTTCTTTCCCAAAAGGGCATTCGTGAACCAGGGGAGCTTTAGAAAAACAAAAAATAGCAACGTCATCATTGCCATTCAGCAAGGTTTTTTTTCCACAAAAGCTAACATTACAATATCTGCCATGGCAAGATTCAAACCCATATTCCCAGAAGATTAACCTGGGGCTTCTGGGTTACTGGTCCAAAGGCAGTACCCTGCAGCAGTGCCTCCCTTTACCCATGCAATTTCATGGAATTTCCAGCTGAACCTATCTGTGTGAAGTTCCAAACATAAACTACCAAGTTGTCCAAACCACCTGAGTGGCTGGCAATGTAATCACCCACTCTAAATATTTCTTTTACAATATTTTTAATTAAGGCACTAAACAACAAAACCTGAATTACTGAAACATTAAAATTCAATGGAGAAGATTAATGACAACTGTGTATATCAACATAGGAATTATGATTGAATTTAACCTGCAGTGTTAGGCTTGAGCAGAAAGCTGAACAAATAGAATTCTTTAGCTGTATATGGCAATGTATCATTTTAAGAAATTGCAGCTTGACGTTTTTATGGCACCTTTCAGTGAGTCACAATTATGTTTTTCTTTGATATTTTTCTCTAATATTCTTTACGCATTATGAATGATGATTTTGTATTTGTGACAAGGCAACTTCTTAGGTAGAATAAAAGTGACACGAATCCTCATCCAAACATGGGGTGTCAAAGAGTGGGCAGCAGTTTTTACACAAGATAAAAAATTGGATTTGCTCCCTTGCACTGGGTGGTGAAGGGATTGTCCTTTGGGACCAAGGATGCTCCGAAAGCATATCCAATAATAAGCAGCTGACCAATTTTGCAGTTATATAGGGCAGGTGGACGCCAGGAATGCAACCATATTCCAGACATTCAAGAATAAATACTCAGGCACAGAAACAAGAATGCCACTGAGAATTTATTACAACTCTAATCTGGTATGAGACACATTCTCTCTTAGTCATGCATTGCTTCAATTTCAATATGAAACTCAGACAAAGGAAGTTTTCTTCCAAAAATGCTTTAGAGTTAACTAAATATTACAAATGAATTGAACTTAATTGCAGAACAGTTACTTCCTAAGATTTGGACCATGGAGAGTTTAACAGCCATCTGTTACATAAAGCGGTTTCATTTAAATTGACGTGTTGATTGCCTTTAGCAGTTCTTTATGATAATATAAATTTAAAATTTTCATTTTCCAAATTTAGCATGGATAATCTTACAGGTTTACGCCCAGTAATGTGATGTTTTGTGGTGATATATGAGGGCTTCAGAATTCCTCTTTAAGAAGTATCTCTCTAATGTAAATCCAGCCAATAAATTTGTAAGAATGCATGCCTCTGACGTGTGCAATTTCTGACACTTTGATAATAGGTTGCTTACTATGCAGGAAAATGAAGGTATTTTCATTCCTCCATACATGAGGTTATATTATGAGTACTGATATCTTGCTGTTCTCATAACCTACTTATTAAAAATCTTCACAGGCTGAATTCCATAGGATATTAGATACATTGAAATACATTTAATGCAAGGATTGATTATTAGGAAATGATTCTCACTCATAAACATTGACTTCTTTAAAATTTGTCATTAGTAATCTTCATGTTCTTTTAAGTGCTTTAGCTTTTAATGGAAGCATGACCATTTTTTTGTGATGATAAAATACTTGTCATAATACATTCCTATTCAATGAAGCTGAAAGTGATTTTGTTCAGAACAAACCTATCAAGTTGTTTTTGTGAAATCCTGTGACCACAGAGTACTGTATATGTCACAGATATGATTCTGAAATGGGGAAGAGCTCACCTTCTTCATAATCATATCACAGGAACTGTCATTTTCATCAGATGACAGCTGGGCCTCTGGTTTTGTGTCCTACCTGAAAGACGACATTTCTAAAAGTGCAGCATTCCCATGGCATTACGCCTCTAGCTTAAATTTTAGTCAGGTCCTGAGTGGAAATTAAACGCACAAATTTTCCTAAAAATGAAAGTACTCCCTAGTGAGCACAGCCGATACCTGCACATAGAATATTTATTTGGGAGATCTGACTTCTTGATATGATTATCAAGTTATCTAACCATCCCATTTCTATTTGTTGTAGAAGAGTAATAGTTGTCTGATGTGCTTAGATAAATGATGCTCTCATCAATTATAATATTAACTATACAGTTAATGTGATTCAATACATGAAGATTAGGATGAGCTGCAAAGGATTAGTTTGCTAATTGTTCCTCCTTGTTAGCATGTTGTGGCCATTCTAAAACTTCTTCGCTTTTTGTTTATGTACAGAATATCTTTTTACAGAATGATCTGGTAAACTCCAAAGCAAAACCAACCAAGAAGGTGTGAATTTGATCTCCTAAACTAGTTTCTATCATCCATCACAGTAATAGATGCCCCAGTGATGGCATTAGGGTTGATGAGCTAACAATGACAAAAGGTAGAAATGTCTTATTGATGATTGATAGATTGACAGCAATCCTGGTTGAAGGGTAAGCTAATGAGGGCAAGATTTTGTTTTCTTGCTATTTTCCAATGTTGAGTAACTTTTCGACATGCTAGGTCCAATATTTTATGTATTCAACTTATTACTATCACTTTCAATCAGCTCTTTGTAATATTCATCTGGTACAGTGGGAGGCTGAAGAAAGACTGAATTAATTGAAAACTAAAAGAACTGCAGATGCTATAAATCAGAAACAGAAATTGCTGGAAAAGCTCAGTAGGTCTGGCAGCATCACTGAAGAGAGGTCAGAGTTAACATTTTGTGGCCAGTTACTTAATCTTTCTGGGTTGGGTTCTGAGGAAGGGTCATTGGACCCAGAACAGTAACTCTGACTTCTCTCCACAGATGCTGCCAGACTTGCTGAGCTTTTCCGGCAATTTCCGTTTTTGTTTCTGAATTAAGTGACCACATAATATAACTCGTGCAATATTATCTTCAGGTTGTAAAGAGAATAACGTTGTTGTTTATAATTATAATGTTATAATGAATTAAATTATGAAGTTAAAGATCAGAAAGAGAAACATTTTTATTCTTTTTTTTTCATAGAAGATAGGTTTTGCTAGCTAAGCCAGCAATTATTGTCCATTCTTAATTGCATTTGAGAAGGTGGTGGTAAGCTGTCTTCATGAACCACTGCCATAGAGTGTAGTTCTGTTAGGAAGGGAGTTCCAGGGAGGGAGGGAGTTCCAGAATTTTGACCCAATGCAGTTCTAGGGCTGCTGATGTCTGAAGCAGTATAAGATGGCTGAAAGTGGTTCTCAGTTGACATATATGGCTGAGGAACATGTTTAGCTGAAATGGCAACTTTCATTGTCTGCACTTTGAAGTTAAACCTCAAGCTCGAGTAACTAGCTGCCCTCATAGAAGGAATATGCCCAAAATAACTTGTTTAAGATAATATACAAAGGATTTTGTGAAATGTATACAACTGGCCCTGTGGAACAGAAACAGATGAAGCTGCTTTTAGATCATAGAATCCCTACAATGTGGAAACAGGCCCTTCGGCCCAACACGTCCACACCGACCCTTGGAGCATCCCACCCAGACTCATCCCCTATAACCCACCTAATCTATACATCCCTGAATACTACGGGCAATTTAGCATGGCCAATCCACCTAGCCTGCACATCTTTGGACTGTGGGAGGAAACCGGAGCACCCGGAAGAAACCCATGCAGACACGGGGAGAATGTGCAAACTCCACACAGGCAGTCGCCCGAGGCTGGAATCAAACCCGGGTCCCTGGTGCTGAGAGGCTAACCACTGAGCCACCGTGCTGCCCTGAGACGTTTTTGTAGAGACAATTAGATGACATGGTGTAGGAACTAACCCTGGAATATGGCTGAATAAGGTGTAGGAACAGATTACTGCAGATGCTGGAATCTGTGCTGAAAACAAAAAATGCTGGAAATCACAACTGGTCAGACAGCTTCCATGGAGAGAGAGCGAGATAATATTTCAAGTCTAGAAGACTGTTCATCAGAGCTGACACGAAGTATTGAGGGGGACAGCATTTATGCAGTGGTGGGGTCAGTTGGAATGCTGGGGGAGAAAGGGTATTGCCGGTGCAGATTAAGTGGTTGAGATGTGAGAATGGCAGAACAATGGTGTGTCTAACTGCCAAACTGGAAAGAATAGATAGTCCCACTGGAGTGGGGGGAGAGGGAAAAGGATTTGGTGACAGAGAAAGTATCAAGTAAAGCTAAAAGAAAGGGAAGGAATGGTAGTGAGATTGTTGTTCTTTCTAGTTTGTCATTCTCACATTGAAATCACTTAATCTGCAGTATCAATACCCTTTGTCCCCCAGCATTTCACCCCTCCATAGCATAAATGCTGCCCCCTCCACACTTCACATCAACTCTGAAGAAAAGTCATCTAGACTTAAAACATTAGCTTGAATAATATGTATTATGAAGGCCCAAGGATAATTGGTAAAGGGGCTTGGTAAACATCAAGAGATCACGGGATGACCTAAAGCTATCCATGGACTGATCATGCAGTCATTTGATTAACCTGATTGGGTGTGTATGTAATCAATTAATAATATGATTAGTTTGTGATAGCCAAGGTGGGCTAAAAGCAAGTGAACAGTATATGTTTTCCTTTGATCTGTGGAGAAGACCCTAGACTGCCCAGGGGTTCTCTCCCCATTGGTGTAACACAATAAACTCTTTGTTGCTTGAATTGGACATTGATGTCAAGTTATTCATTTAATCACTCCACTCTATCGGGCTAAAGGAACAGTGTTATAGTTCAAAACCAGAATGGTGTGTGGCTTGGAGAGGACCTTGAAATTGACTGCATTTTCAGGCATTTGCTGTTCTTGTCTTTCTAGGTAGCAGAGGTTATGAGTTTTGAAGGTGCTGTCACAGGAGTGTGGGTGATTTTCTGCAATGGACCTTGTCAATGGTACACACTCCTGATACTGTGCATCAGTAATGGAGGGAGTAAATGTTTAAGGTGGTGGATGGTGTACCAATCAAGTGGGCTGATTTGTCTCCAATGGTGTCAAGTTTCTACTGTGCTTTTGGAATTGCACCCATCCAAGTAGGTGCAGAATATTCCATCTTATTCCTAATTTGTTCCTTGGTGATAATGGACAGGCATTGGGAAATCAGGAGAGGAGTTACTGGCCACAGCATTCCCAACTTCTCACCTCCTCATATCACTATAATATTTATATTACTGGTCTAGCTCAGTTTCTGATTTATGGTAACTCCCAAGATGTTAATATTGAAGATTCCAGGATTGTACTGACATTGAATGTCAAGTGAAAATAAATAGATTCTTTCTTGTTGGGGATGATCATTGCCTGTCAATTGAGTGAAAGTCATTTGCATTGTAGCTGTTTGTTAGTCACTGTTTTGGTGTTACATTACTGGTACTGTGCCATCTCCTGTGGCTCACAGATGGGAGTCAAACCAAGTGTGGTACTTAATTAACTGAAGCAAATTTGGGAGAAGAAGATAATTAGATCAAGGCACAGAGGCATAATTCAACCTTTATTTAAAAATCACCAATTTTCCATTACAAATTCCGTTGTACATTATGTGTTGGAAACCAATATCAATTCATCACAATGAAATTATACCTTGTCCACAATAACCTTTGTTCTTTGAAGGGATTTATTGTGGTGTGCCTTTGAGTATCTTAATGTGATTGGTCCAGACTTTCTAATCCTGCGCAGACAAAAATATAAACACTTCCCTTCAGATAAGTTTTCCGCTCAGATATTCCTGACCAGGAATCTTCTCTTCTGAAACAACATAAACAAATTGAGTAACAGGTGTAGAATAGGTCAACATGGAAATTGCACTCTCTTTTTCAGCAGTAAGTGCCATGTTCTATGATTTAAAGTTCCTGTAGCCAGTCGGATTGGGAGTGGCATCAGGTGGATGGAGGCAGTTGGTGCATGTCAGGTCTAGTAGGAAGAGGTGTGGTGGACTATTGGGTCCAGCAGTGTCAGTGTGAGTTCAAGTGTTTGTTTTAATAGTTACCCAGAAGTCACAGTTGGTATCTAACTCCTCTAACATCTCCTGGGTAAACATAAAGCATAAGTCAGGTGGGGCCTTCTGATCTCTCCAATTCTAACTCAGAGTTAGGGACTTTTTCAAAGGGTTCCAGGCATCGTGTAATTGCCCCAAGGCAATATGAACTTCCCAAGCAATTCCCACAGAGTCAGTTGCATTAAGATTTCTTTAT